CTCTTCAGACTCATCATTGCTCACAGCTTCATTTACCTTGTTGAACTGGTTTTTGTGTGTGCTTGCCTGTATGGGTTTCTGAATTTTGCTTGCTTTCCAACTGTACTTGAGAGGCAGGAGTTTGAGGATAAGATTAACCAACTCCTTTTCTCCAAATGTGTGGAGCCCTTGGAATCCTGCGCTTTATGGTTGTAGCTCCTGCTTTACGACAGCAATGTATGTATTTGTTGTGTGGCTAGTTCCTTGCCTACTGGTGGGGAAAAACACAAGAGAATCAAGACCTTGACAGGTTTGTGTGGGGTTTGGGATTGCCAGAACACAAGCAACTCTGCAGTAATGTAGCCTTTTGTGTAGAGGTAGCAAGGAGATGCAAGCCAGAAGGGTGCTGACAGCCAGACAGGGAGGTTGGTGGGGGTGAGAGGTTTGGGATTGTTCTACTGGTCTGGGGCAGCAGAGCCTTTACAGAGCACGGTCCTTGCCTTCTGACCTGGTGCAGAAGTCCATTTTGCAAATGAAAAGGCTACCCATGGCTGCCTCAGGCCGGGAAACACAATATCCATTGGACCCTTTTCACCTCCCACTGCATCGGTGGCAATAAATGGCAGAGGTATGATGGATTTCTTGTCAACAGAACTGGGAGAACACACTGTAATTAAAGGACACCAGTGACTCTTCAAAAGTGAAGGTGAGGGGGTGTGTCTGTTTAAAAACCTGATGCGGTACAGTGCAATGAAATGTTTTGAAAAGCTTGGTAAGGGCATGAATTTGACCTATTTCTGCGTATAAAGAAATATGTCTTTTACTTTACAGCAAATATATTTCAGGAAAGCTTACTTACCAGCTATTTAATTTAATAATTTTAATATTGCTTGGTATATATTCCCTCTTCATTGGTACTCTAGCTTGATTAAGTGTTCCGCAATACTATAAGCTTCTGGCATTTGTCCCACAAACTTAATGCATTATCATACGTTTATTAGAATAATGTCATGTCCCATTTTTTTCCTGAGTTAAGGGATGTTGCATTCCCCTTCCTGAACCAACACTTGCGTATTGCCGGCATTGTTAGTGGTGAGCAAAGAGGTATCAATCTTCCTTCTGTAGGAGTGCCAGGCCCTGCTGCAGACGCTGTAGGCACAGGGTTTGGCAATGTAGCAGCATCTGCACCTTATCTGGAAATAATGTTGCTTTATTCTTGAAACTTCTTTTTGTTTATTTTTCCCCTTGTAATATTAGCTTTCTTTTGGTCAACATGTGCAGATACAGGTAGGTATACAGGCAGGTGAGAGGGTGCTGTGTACTTAAGATGCACATAATGTACCCACAGCCTGTGCTTTAGCTGTGATGCCTGAGGTCAGTAGTCTGGCATTTTCAGGAATTCAAAATTAGAAACAATGGCACCCAGGTTGCCTGCGCACCTTTGTTGGTTTGGATTTGCATTTCTATGAAGTGTTTAGATCACAAGCTCCATGTCTGGAGTACTTCCTTTTCCTTCAATGCATAGGCAGATAAGAATGGATCTTCTAATATTAAAATGCTTATAGGCAGCTTAAATACAGTTTGGAATTATGATCACTTGTAGGAAGCTTTTCCTGAAAAGTTTTTAAGGAGGGGATAGCTCAGGAGTGCATTCTGAGCTTATGATGAGCTAAAGAGTACAGTAAAGAGCTTATTTTATTGATTTGGTTTGTTTGCATTTTACTTAGTGGAAGCATTTTCCTTGATTTGCAATACATCTTAAAAAGATAATGACTGAAAAAGGGGAAACTTGTATCCCTGATCAGTGAATAAAAATAGGTGACAAAAGCTTCAGTCTGCTAATTTTGGCAACAACCATGAGGAAGGAGTCAACAGGTGACAGGACATATTGTGACAGAAAGCTTCTTTGGGGAAACACTGACTTTTCAGACTTGAAATGTTCCTTAGGAACTTACCAGATTTCATCAAATTTTCCAACGAAAATGGCATAATTTTGTTCTTAGAGCAGAAAGTGAGCAGAAACCAGAGGCAGGAAAAGTGAGGCATCTCAGCTCTTCCCTTGCATGTGTGCCTGAAACTTTAAAAAAAGCATCAGAATGCAATTTACTTCACATGAAAAGTTTGTGGCACAAGATTTGTGAGGCTTTATTCTGGGTGGGATGTTCGATGATCTGCCCCGATCTCCTTCCTTAAAAGTGGAAAGTGGCTGTCAGCACAGCTCAGGAATTATTACTAATTTCTCTCAGGACAAAGCAGACTCCAAAGACTTGGCTCTTTGGAAAACCCTGGTAAGTAAGTGGGATTGCTGGTATGCTTTAGAAAATCTGAACAATATCGTTCAGTTCATTACCTTCCTTTTTTTATCTTCAGCAAGCTGAGATGCCCTTCCTTTCCCTGAAGATATCATCCTGGGAAAGAAGAGCAAAAAAGCTATGCAACTCAGCAGGAGAATGTTGTATCACTTTGAGCAGCACTGGGGAAGTCTAGTCCTAGTGTTCTAGTCTCCCAGCCCTTTCCTGCTTTGATTCCTGATATTGTGTTTCCTGTCTTTCAGTAGTTGGCAAGATCTCAATATTCCCTACCTTTTCTGTGTGATTTTTTGCGCAAAGGTTTCAAACGCTTTGATTACTGATTTTACTTAGAACCTCCTTTCAAGGGATATGTGTAGCACGAGGTTATGATGACTTTGTTAATCTTTTTTAACAGTTGATACTAATCCACTTTTTAATTCACTGTTAAACCAAACTCACCGTGACACAAATTGGTGGAAGGGAAGAGACCATTAGGTAAAAAAATATCATATATAAAGATTTAGATGGTTTAAGTAAAGTTAGGGTATCAGTTGACTGACAAAGGCAGGATTTCCCAGGGTGCTTGCCTTTACACTCCCCTTGGTTTCCGTGCCAAAGTTTTATTTGGCCAAACTTTTGATTTACCCACAGGTTTGCAATCTCGTCAGAGTCTCAGCAGCGGTCTCTGCTGTGTCCTTTGAAGAAATTGATGGTAGGCAGCCCTTGCCTGGCAGTGTGAAAGGGGGTTAGATTTCACTGTCAGAAGAGGTTTGTAGGTTTGCGAGATGGGCACTGAAATACAGAAGTCGAATAACGACATTGAGGTTTGTCTCCTTCTGTCCTTGGTCCTCTTGAAAGCCTCTGTGCTTCCAGCACAGGTGCCTCACCTTGGCACAGCCTGGTGGTAATACCTTGGATCAATCGAGAAGCACTTGAGCAAGTGCTTTTCAAGGGGAGCAGGGGGAAAACTGCTAGAAACTTTGGATGAAAGCAAACCATTTTTTTCCTGGAGAAAGCTCAGGTGTTGTGGCAAGTCTATAGAATATATTTTTTCATTATCTTTTGTTCTGCCCAAAAGAGCTGATATTAATTTTACTTAATCTTCAGGGAGATAGCTCAGACTGGAGATTCCCATACTGGTTATCTGGAACAAGAAAAGAATCAAGAGGGAACTCTTCTCTTGGTATCTGCTGAGTACTTCAACACATGTTGTGCTTTAAACAAGAAAATTAGGAGGAACATAATGATGTTGCAGGGTTGGTAGAAACCTTAGCCACGTATAGTTTGTGAGAAAAGTTGAAGTGATCTTGGATAAATGTTTTTTGGCTGCTGAATGCTTGGTCAATTCCTGGTTGAAAGGAGTTGCAGGAGTAGTTTGTTTTTACAATGGTGCCAAGAAACACCCAGAGCAAAGGACAGGTATTGCTGCTTTCCAAGTGAGTCTACAAACCGCAGTCAGGACCAGAGCCCAGGAGAAATTGCATAACAAACTCTACATACGCATATAAATGCACAACAAACTTTTTCTTAAAGGTTTCTTAACCCATAAGTCCAAGTTATGGGGCACCTGCAAGTTTAGTATCACGCTCGGGCTTTCTTTTGCTATATCTGTGCAGATACGTAGGATTCATGTTTTGCAGCTGGGTTCTGTATTTGTTTTGAAAACTGTTTTGAAAACTTTTGAAATGTTGAAAAAAAAACCAACACCAAAACCACAAAACCAATTCCGAGCCGTTTTCTTTTGCTTATCTAAAAGAACAAACAAATACCTCCAAAACGAATAATAATAAAAAAAGTCTAACCATCCCAATAACAACAATAAAAACAAAACAAACAAAAAACCAACACAAAAAACCCCAAGAAAAACAAAAACCCCCAACAGACAAGAAACACCCCCCAAAAAACACAACCCTCCCCCAAAAAGACCAACAAAAAAATCCCCAAAGAAAAAAAAAAACCAAAACGCCACTCCCCGAAAAAACCAACCAAACAATAAACAACAAAAAAACCAAACAAAAAGAAACAAAACAAACAAAAAAAAACCACGAAAAAACCCAAACAAACAAAAAACCCAAAACACTCAAAACATAAAAAAAAAAAATCCCCCCAAACTAAAAAACAAACCCAAACACAATAAAACCCATCACCAAATCTCACAAAAAAAACCAAACTAAAAAAACACAAACAAAAAAAACCCAAACAAAACAAAACCCACCATCACCCTCCAGAGCCCCTGGGCTGTGGCAGAGGATAGGGAGCCGGTACGCAGAGTAGCATCCGCACCTCCCGCTCTCCCCGTCCCCTTTCCTCCCGTTCCCACCAGGCAGCGCCCCTGGCGCGGTCCCGGGCAGGGCAGGGCACGGCCATCCCTGCCCCTCTCTCCCGGCCCTGCCGGGCCGTACCACGAGCGCTCTCCCGGGCGGGGGGAGGCGGGCGCGGGGCGGCCCCGAGGGCCGCTCTGCCGCCGGACCTGCCGCCCCGGGCAGTGCGGGGGCACCGAGCGGAGACGCGGCCCCGCTGCCCCCCGGCTCCCGCCCCCGCCGGCTGCGGGCTGGCCCCGGGCGGGCCCGCTGGGCCGGGCGGGGTCCCCCCCCCGCCCTCCCCGTGGGCCGGGGGTGGGCCGTGCGCCCGGATGTCGATCAAAATGAGCGAGCGCCAGCCCTGCGCCGGCCGCCCGGGCGGGGGGAGCCGCGGCGCGGGGGCACCGCGCAGCGCCGGGGAGGCGGCCGGCACATGGAACGGGGGGCTCGGGCAGCGGGGTAGAGCCCGGGCGGCTGCGGGGAGAGCTCATGGATAGAGGACGCTTGGCAGGATAACCCCGCGATGGCTGCTCAGTCGAGGTACGGCATTAAATAACTTCGGCTGCGCTCGGTGCATCTCATTGAGGGGCCACTCGTAGCCCGGCCGTGTTAGTGATGCCCTGGCTCGGGCACGGCTTGCTGTAGGTTTTTTACCCCGCGTCTCTGAAGTAGATTTTGTCTGTATATTTTGTTCACCGAAGTGCCCGCTCCCTCCTCTCAGTGTAAACTTTATTTCAGCAGGGAAAACAAAAGTCTTAATCGCTCCCCGTCAAATGTCTCCTAGTCCAACAAGTTAAAAGCTCTTTGAAACTGATTTTCTTCTGAAACTGATTTTCTTCTGCCCCGTGGACTAGTCTGCTGTTGGTTTGTTTGTTTTCCCCTGTAACCAGCCTAGCGTGAACAGGTTTCTGTCATTGCTCACAGCAGTGTTTTAAGAGGTGGTAGATGGTTTCTGTCGGGTTGGGCTGGAGAGCTGGCTGGGTGCGATGGAAGCAGGTTGTGTCTGCTGGTGTGCAAATCTGCCGGGTAGGTGGGAGGGCAGAAAATGGTGACAGAGAGGAGTGTAAAAAAGAGTTACGTAGTTGCCGTCAGGGAGAAACATTCAAGCAAAAATACCAGTCTTGGTTAAATACTTTTCAGCTGTGGTTATAAAGAAGCAACATCTTGCCTACTCTCGGGGGTAGGGGAAAGTGGGGGGAGTGTCCTGTCTACAGTAAATTTCACACTCAGCATGGAGGAGGCAGCTTTTCTTAAGTTGTAGTACTTGATGGAGCAGTGCTATTTAAGGTACTTGTTAAATGCCTTTTAGCGTTTAGGATGCTTTAATGGGCATTTCAGAAATGCCACAGAGAGAAATTCCTTTTTGCTCTTTAGTCCTATACCAAACGGCCACCTTGCTCCTCTTTCCTGCAGGCAGGAGGAAAAAAAAAGAGTTAAAAATGGTGGCATATCCTACACAGAAGTTTGGCGCTCACAATATATTTTCATAGTGGTGCTTTTCTGCAGGTTGGAAGCCAAGAGCTGGCTTTAAATTACATACTGGAGAAGGACAGAGCCCTGAGGTTTGGGGAGGAAGGAGGGGAAGATGGATTGCTTGTTTAACAGCTGAGCTCTTGTCCAGCTTCGATTGCCTGCTCTCCCTGCATGTGAGGAGGCTGGCAATACTTGACATAAAGAGTACTTGACAAAAAGGTAAAGACTCAGTTTTTAACATATTTTTTTTCTTTTGTGTGATCGCTTATCCACATGATTTACTGGCCTGCATTCTCAGCATTGCTGTAATAGGCCTGCATGCTAAGGGAGGGCACAGCATAAATCCTAGTGATGCTGCCTGGCCCTGGAGCTTGGCTTTGCTCCAAGGCCAGGGACACTCTTGATGTCTCAGAGGTTGCACAGTCATTTTCCTGGGTGGCAGGAGTGCACGAGGGAGCCAGGTCCCAGCAATAGCCCCCAGCTTCAGCCAGCTGGCTGAAAAAGGGCAGAGCTGGCAATGGGACCAGTGAGCCACATCCACCTGTAAGGTGAATGGTGCAGAGAATAAAGTTACGTGTGTTGAGTGGTTCAAACTGAAGTGAGAAAAACAGGCCAAGGGTTGGGTCCATGGGGCTGAGTACTGCAGGGCAGGTGAAAGGACTGTGCCCCACACCTACCATTTGAGATGGGCATGGGGTCAAGACGTGCACCAGCCCTTCTGTACCCTCCCTTATCCGTCATGTGCATTGGCTTTTGTGTTTGTCAGGATGCTGTGAGGTGCTCAAGCTGTAAAACTGCATCAGAGTGTTTCAGCATAGTGAGTAAGGAGATTACTCTGTATTCTTGAAAATCAGTGTTAGAGTAAAAAAGATTATTGCTCATTTTAAGTCATTTAAAGAGAGTAGGAGTGAATATGAGCAGCAGAAATGAGTCTGCAGGAAAGAGGCAGCATTTGCCAGAAAACCCGATGCTTGTGGTATTTCTGTTTCAGTGGCACAGGTCCACAGGGGCATCAATCTCATTTCAAAAAATTTGTACTTTGTGAATAAGTAGAAGCTTTTATTCAACAGTAAAGAATTAATTCATATTCATAATAAACAATTAGAGCTATAATGCGCGGGACTGAGAGGCAACATGTCTCCAGAATTCATTTGCCAAAACATGTCGGGGGTTTACTCTGCAAGGTAGCTGACAAACGATGTGAGTGAGCTTTTTTGTGTTCATTTCCTCTTTGAAAAAAAAAAAACAAAACCCAAACAAAAAACCCTCATCAAACAAAAAAACCCACTTTTTGCAAGCTCAGTAAATTACTGATGAGGTGGTGTGATACCGAGCACGGTAGGGTTTTGTGTATCTCTCTGTAGGAGGCCTTCGGGCACTCCTCCATCTGCTCGTGTGCACTGTTTCTCACAGCCTGTATGTTTCAGCTGGTGAAAGTGATGGGACATGGGGGAGGATACTGGTTTGGAAACAAGAAAATCCAGCATCCTTTCTTCAGCTTTAGTGCTGTGATGCTGGGCAGCTCAGTATTTGGGTTTCACTGTTTTGAAGGGTGAAAGGGTAAGGAAAACAAGGTGATTAAATATGCCTGTTGCTGCTCTTTAGCGTTTTAAAAACTGTAGCAGTGATGACTGAGAAGCTGATGTGCTACTGGGTGCCATAACATTTTTAAAAATAGTAATCTTAAGAAATGATTATGTGGTGGGTTGGGTATGGTTTGGTTTCAGCTGTTTGAGAATTATCAGCTTCTACCAATAGCTGCTGTAAATAGCTTACATCTGGAACTAGTAGGTGGAGAAACTATCCTCCAGGTAGTGTTGTTTTGTGTATAATGTAGGTTGTTATTTTTTTTTAAGTTGCTCACTGAGCCATGGGTTTGCAGCTGTAGCTTTCTATGCTCTCTCTTCTGGAATGCACAGATGATCTGATGCCTGTAGTGTCCCCAGGCAACAGGGCTTGTGTCAGGTTTTTATGGTATATTCAGGAACGTATGAGCAGAAGCAGAATTGATCTGAATGAGAACAAGTTTACTTTCTTGTTGAGTGTGGTGTGATACTCATCACATGCCGTTGGGCTGCTCTGAGGTAGGGCAGGATCCCTAGGAGGGGTGTGAGACAGGCTGGCACCTGCTCTTACTACAAGGGATTAGGGAGGAGTGAAGACACAGGTCCTTAATGGAATGGTGGAGCCCATCTCTTTTATGCTCCCTTCTTCATTGAAATATCTGCTCTACTGCAGCAATTGCAAGCTGAGGCTCTTCAGATGAATAGCTAGGGGGTTTTTTTACGGTGTAGGCTGCTTTTCTCAGGCTAGTTAGGATCTTTTAAAATCATTTAAGATTTAAATGATCATAAGATCATTTAAAATGATCTGTAGACCCAGTAGGATACACTTATTTACAGTTGGTGGATAAACAAAATAGTTTATCATTTTGGATGCTAAGAACTTCCAGTTGTCATACAACCTGCCTTTCAGCCTAATCAGCAATGATTAGTATCCAGAACCAATGCAGTTTCCTAATCTTTGTACATAGGTGAATACAGTAACACAGTCAGAGCGACACGAAATCTGAGTGTTGTGCTGTCATCCCTGCTGGGCTCACCTTCCTCTTTCTCCTGAGTCAGCCCTGCAGGTAAAGGTAATGATGGACAGCAGCCTGGGAAGCCCTCTATTTCCACCCCCTAAAGCCAAGTTTTACCAGCTAAACCCAGCAGAGCCTTGAAACGAGGCAGTACCACTCATTTTTGTAGAAAAAGGTAGTGCTGTGTAGAAATAAAACGTGGCTTTATCTACATTTAAGACATGGTGAATTCTGAAGGGAATAATAACACTGAGGCTTTTCCCTTAGGAGATGCTATGTTGAATAATGCAGCTTAAGTTCGTTCTATGTCATTTCACAGCTTTCCTGGCCAGGTCTAAATACACATTTCATAACTGGTTTGTTTCATGGGTCGAGTTGATACGGGCAAATGCCAGTATTGGTGATGCTGCATTCTGGTCAGCTGATGTAGGTCAAGAAGGACTGAAACAATGTCTTGTTGGAGTTTACCTGTCTGTTGAAAGCTAAAACATCCCTTGAAACCATGTTGGTTTTGCTTGTATGTTGCTACTAGCCCTGCTGTAGAAATACAACTCTGTTTTCTCCAGAACCAGATGCCCAGATGATCCATGACATGTTTTGTGGGCTTCTGAGGATTTTCAGTTCACAGTTCCTTATTGCCTGGACTTTCTGAGCCTGGAGTCTGTTGCTTTGGGTAGACCTACAGCTGAAACTCTCCCATACAGAAGAAAGAGATGCTCACAGAGCAGTGAATTTTTCAGGCAGGTTTGCTGGTGTTTTGTTTGTTTGGTTTTGGTTCTTTTTGCAGTGAGGGTTCCAATTTGTAATAGGCCATTGAAAACTTTGAAATACAGTTGTATACAGCTCAAGTATGCCAGGACAAGGGAATGTTTCCTTAGGTCACATAATTTTCCTATGTCTAAATCTGTGTTATAGAGAGAGGCATTTTCTCACTGCTTTTTATGAGAAAATCATTTGCTAGTAAAACTGCAAGATGCAGCATCATTAGCAGGAAACAAGCATTTAATGAACTGCATAAATTCTCCTCAGCATTTTTCTGCTGAGTATAGTCATAGTGAGTGACAACCTGAAGCTTTTAAATGCCTTTAAAATATAATAGAAAAGGTGTCTTCCTAAAGTACGTAGGCATGCTACAAAGACGTTGTTCTGCATGAGGCAGAGGGCAGTGAAGTGAGGAAGTTTCCCACTGAGTGCAGGATGTCTTCCTAAGGCCCGGCTCTGGCACAGGGTGGTTGGGAGCTTAGAGGCTAATTTGCTTATCTGGCTTGTGAGCACCATGACAAAAGAGTTGCCTGGGCCTCCAAAAAAAAAAAAAAGGTAAGGAAAGTACTTATCTTATTCAGTCTTGAACACAGCATGGAGATTTTTTTTTTCCCCCCTCTGGTACGTTTTGCAAATTTGGCTGCTGCAGTTCATCTGTGTCTGTGATAAAAATTAAGAAGACACATGTAGCACTGGCTGGGGCAGGTATCACTCCAATGTTACC